ACATAAGAGAAGGATAAAAAAAGAAAAAGTGCATATTTTGTCTTTGTCAGAGTAGACAGAGAATGACAAGCAATAAATATCACCAGCTAGAATCGAACCAACGACATTTACTAATACATGGTCAGTGTAAACCTTTAATTATTTACACGTAGATCAATCCTTGTTTTGTCGAGCACCTAATTTTGTATTTGAGTATACATTTGAGTATGTGGTTCCCTCTTTAGGCGACGTGGCCACGTTGGTTGTATTTGCTTCTTGTATTAAATTCCTTTTCTTTTGTTAATGAATTATGTTTTGTCAACAGGACAAGAAGCTCATGAAGGCACTGTTTGACGTACTAGCTCACCCACAGAATTTCTTCAACTATACAGCACAAGAATCACGAGAAATGTTCCCTAAATCCTTCATCCGCTTCCTGCGCTCCAAAGTCCTGAGATTCCTTCGACCTTAAAAAGGTCTGCCACTGATTTTTCATAATAAGCTTAGATTAGATACTGGCCACAGTATCTGTTTTTGTCACTGACCCCTTTAAGATTATTCTATAGTTATCAGTTTTCACCTGACGTGATACTACATTGGACAGCACACTTAATAAAACTAGTCCTGAAGGCAAAGTGGGCAAGCAAGTGAACTTTTAACTGGAGCTTTAAGAGGAAGAAAATGATCAGTGAGGCAGTAGAGAGTGTGGACCTCCAGGGTCGTCCTCAGAAAGGAATCAGGATCCCTTCCCTTTGTATGGAAATTTGGAAATGTGTTTAAGTAGCAGAAGAATTATGAGTTTATACAGCAATTTATACATGAGTTTATACTGATGATTTTAAATTCTTTAGATTTTAAAGTCACCATCTCAGTATTCAAATCCAAAGCACAAATCGGTATTATAGCTAAAAATTGTACATGCTAACATTATGAGAATTCTGCTAATAACGATGTGATGAAAAACAAATACATTGGCAGAACAGACATACACTGATTGTCTGTGATACTGTATCTAGTTTTAACATAGGGTACTTTCACAGTTAGAAATGAATTATTGACAGCAATACTGCTAAACCCCTGAAACAAACACAGTATAGCACAAATGTTTTCTTTGGGACATTAGCACTACTGAAGAAGTAGTGGTACCACAGAAGCAATTATTCTGATCAGTGTTTTGTAAATGATGTAAAAAGATTTACGTGAAATGCTAATGTTTTGTAGCAACTACATCCATTTTTACAGTATAGCATTGCTGCAGTTGCTGGTGGCCCATGTATTTGACGTTCTGATGTGTCTGAAGGAGTGCTACTGTTCCGAAAAACCTTTTCACTGTCCAGAAAATTTCACAGTGGCTTTCATGCATTTGTGATCTACTGAGACACTAGTATGCATTAATAGGCTGTATTTTGTATTGTGGACTTGCGGCCAAAGACAGTTCAGATACTCAGAGAATTGGAAGTTATATAGGGTCATGAAAAGAAAGTCTTGTAATATAGACCTGAGCGATTCACCTTTTTTAGATGATACATGTATGTATATTTTTATGGTTTTGTACATCTAATATGCTGTAAATAAAGACAGAAAAAGTATTTTGTGCTTTTCTAATTCTTCTGCTCTGCTTTTCTTTTTTTAAATATTATTTCTTATTTACTTTTATTTATGATCTGGAATATTAAGAAACCACGCTATTTTGTACTTACATTTAATTTATGTACACTTGTTTGGGGAAACATTGTATCAGCTTTCTGACTTTATTTATTTGTATTAATATTGTCTACTTACATGCATTAGACTGTGCATGTTATATATCCTTTAAGTTATATATTCTAAACCGTTGGTCCTCAGATCTGTTTTTGATCTTGTCAAAACCAATGGTTGCGTTCGTTTTAAACTACACCTCCGCACCTGTTCACCAGCAAGGGCGGAGTGTAGCTCTGCTTGGACGGGTTTTCAAAGGTTTTCTCTACATTCATCAAATGTGACCGATTACATCATCATTTTGTCTGCACATCAGGTTTAAAAACCAGCCGGTCGGTTGTTATCCAATATTTTACCTCCCGCCGGGACATCACATATTTACTTAACCGAACATAAATAAGCACCATCTCCGGAAGCTGAGAGTCAGCTGCCAGGAAGTCGGGGCTGTTTATCTGTGAATTAGCTTGATGGCTAAAGTTTTCATATATTAGCGTGTACTTCACACTGCTGGTGTTTGTGGAAACACTACTTGAACATTAGACCTTTGGAAACTGGGAATCTGTGACAGTCTGTCAAAAATGAAGTCTGTGCTTTTTTTCGAGGCTTTCTTTTTGGCTTGTTTTGTGCTGTTAAGTCAAGTGGCAGCGAAGGTAAGGCTAACGTTAGCTAGATTAGCTGGCGTAAGAGTCAAAGCTGCAGTAATTGCTTGGTAAACTGAAGTCTCGTCTTTTTTAAATCTCTCCAAAAATGAATTCACGTTACTGTCGAGTCTTGAAAGCTAGCTCTGTCCCGAATTTGACCCGTCAGACGTTGATACGTTGCCGGATTTTGCTAACACTAGCTTGCCAGTCTATAAAAACTGAATTTTATAATTCACACGAACGCAAGATTTATTGTTGTGTAACGTTAACATTTTGTTAGTTATAACTCAGTGAACCTAATGAACTGGTAACCGAGGGTACTGCGTAGGACAGCTAACGTTTTCTTTAGCTGCTTGTAAATCGCGGACAGTATCTACGATGGAAAAGGAAAATACTGCCTTAAACTGTTGTTTTTAGACAAATTCTACAATTGCAGCACATGTAGACACGCTAATATCTGGCCTCAAGCTCATTAGTCTTGTTTCTGAAGTAATTGTTTATCATTAATGATTTTATATGAAACGCCATTAACACCAGGTAAACTACTGCTAACGATAACAATAGCTTTATTTGTAATGCACTTTTTAAAACATGAAGTCAGTAAGATGTTTTATATAATTTTAAAATGAGGACAAAGCAAAGGGAAGGACAGTAATATAATGAAATTAATAAAAACAAACTTAAAAGCCACATAAAATTGTATAATAGTGTGTGTGTGTGGCTGTTATCAGTGAAATATGTGTGATAGCGGGAGAAGAAGATGGGGCAAAACAAGCAAGCAAAATATTTTTGATTTGTTACAGAATTCTGAAGACATCCGTTGTAAATGCATCTGTCCACCATACAGAGAGATTGAGGGACAAATCTACAAGCAAAATGTTTCCCTCAAAGACTGGTAAGTTAAGCTGCATCCCTACATTTCCCTAAATGATGTGAGCTGCCTGTTTCCTGCTTGTAAATGTGACTTTGTTGTTTCTCAGTAACTGTCTTCATGTAGTTGACCCTATGCCAGTGGATGGGAAAGATGTGGAGGCATACTGTTTACGTTGTGAGTGTAAATATGAAGAACGGAGCTCAGGAACCATCAAGGTAAGTTGACTTTTATGTATGTGTGCCAAAGAGCGAGGAACTATCGGCAATTTTATATCCAATGGATATATTAATTATCAGTTAATCTATTGGTTATTTTTGATCAATTATTTGGTATGTGCAAATAGTGACAAATCATAATCTGCCCTTATCAAATTGCTTGTTTTGTCTGAATACTTAAAAATGCAAAGATATTTTGTTTACAGTGATTATAAAATTAAAATAAAGCAAACAGTCCTCACATCTGTCTATCTAACTCTCTGTATGACTTATGCAATCAACGTTGTGTGTACAGAATAAGTCAACATAACAGATGTACAGTATGGACAGTCAGAATAACAAACTGCATTTTAAACATATATGAAGAACATTTTATCAACATGTACTGTATGAGGAAAATGATTTTGGGGAATGAGCCAACTTCCAGGTGTGTAATAGGATTTTGAGACTACATGACTGCATTTGAGGCAAAACCCAAACACATCATTCACACACACAGTGGAAGGAAACAAGCACATTAATTCATTGTGTTTCTTGTGTTTGGTTTATACACATGTTGAAGGAAACCAAACCAATCAGTAATTGTTCCATACCTTCAGGTTACCATCATAATGTATCTCTCCATTTTGGGCCTACTGCTGCTCTACATGGTTTACCTGACTCTCCTGGAGCCCATGCTGAAGAGGCGTCTGTTTGGACACTCACAGCTTATCCAAAGTGATGATGATGTTGGGGTATGTGTTCCTCCTAATATTACATGATTGCAGCTCATAGTGAGAAAGGACAGTGATGCTTATATTATGGTAATTATAGTTACTCTAAACTCTTTCTTGTCTTAAGTTTTTTTTTAAATGTGTTTAAATAACCTGTCTTTGTGCAAAATATGATGTGGAATTCACCCTGTGTGTGAAAAGAGTTTAACAAGGTTATGATTCTCAGAAGTAATTTTTAAACCCCTTTGTATGGGAATGTTCTGAATAAGTTGAAATGTCCAAATTACTAATAATTTTCCATTTATCAGGCCTTTATTTAAAATTGACATGAAATTCAAATTTGAGAGCTACTTCAAACACAGGGAGCGATGTACGTTTTTTTCAAAGTGCTTTCTCACTGTGTCAGGCTTTTATATGTGGGAGGGCTCACTGGAGAATCCATTAGTAACCACAGTCACAGGCAACAGACTGGAGCAGGGAAGGAGATCACGATGCAGGCAGCTTGATCCATTTTCTGTTTATCTTTCCTAAACATGGAAACTATGGTTTTAGAGTAACCCAATCCTTAACCTAATTTCTGAGACAAAAATACTGTTAAAATGATCATGTGTTGAGATATGTTTACATATTAAAGGGAAATGGTAACTGCCTTTGCCTCAGGGTAGAGGGGGCATTGTTGCTACCTTGATGTGTTTTCCCTGCCAGAGTTCAAGCACGTTTCTTTTTGGAGGTCTTGTGCTGTATAAAAATGTGATGAGTCAGATGTCGGCAGTGAAAGTTTTACACTGGGCAACATGATGGTGTTCTCCCAGATCTACTGGTATTTGTGACTTTGTTTCCAGTTGATGACATATCAGCAGAAATACAGCATGATCTCAAAGCCTGTACTGACAGTTTTGATCTAATATTTGTACTACAGCAACTTGCTCCTGTACTGGAACTAGGGCCGAAACAGAGGGAGAGAAATTTGTTAAGAAAGCCAGTAAAACTAGAAGTTTTGTTTTGGTTTTGTTTTCAGGACCAGCAGCCTTTCGCCAACGCTCACAACGTTCTGTCTCGTTCACACTCTCGACCAAACATGCTGAACAAAGTGGAGCATGCCCAGCAGCGCTGGAGAAGGCAGGTCCAGGAACAGAGGAAGTCTGTCTTTGATCGTCATGTTGTTCTCAGTTAAACTGCCCTGTGAGCAAGAGTTATCTGTGGAGCAAAAAAACAAAACAAACAAACAAACAAAACCCTGTGACAGAGCCCTTGGTTTATATTACTTAGTTTTTCTCATTTGCACTTAGTACCTCATGAAGCATGATGGTTCCTGGGTGAACAGGGTAAAGACGTCCCTAACAGATGTATAGTCAAAGCTGGGAACTTGTTTATTATTATTATTATTATTATTATTATTATTATTATTTTATTATTATTCTGCAGGCAGCACAACAAAATTACAGTGAATTTATTTTGGCACAGTCTTGAATAAACAGTTGAAAATCAGAATGTTTCTAAATTTGCAAAACTGCCAAGTCACCTGAGAAATTGTGATGAAAAGTGTGATGGTGGAGACAAATAAATGTGAGATAAACCGTGAATATTTTATAATTTTTCTCTTACTCTTGCTTTCCGCACTGTCAGTCTCAAGAGCACTCTTGTAATTTTACAAATCAAACTAAAATGTCCAGATGTTGGTCGGTGCCAGTCCTCATTGTTCGACCGTCCTCCAGCAGTAAATGATCAGTTAGCATGTAGCCGGTGGATATTTTCCATCCAAAAACTAATATATCTTAGATGTACTGCTGTCAGCACAGGAGAAAGCAGCTAGTGTGGATTATAAATTGTTCAACCTTCTTTGAAAATGCATGTTTTGTAATGAATATTTTGTAAATGTGTTATCAGTTATTAAATAATGTCAGGTAACTGTGAAATCCATTTAATGCATTACACTAAATTTGATATTTGGAAGTAGTTTTGATTAACTTCATTGCAGAAATCGATGCAGTTTCTTGGTGATGTCTTAGTAAACGTAGCCGTGCTATCGTTCTGACTCTGTTGAAGACCCCATTGAAATCGGTGTCCTCTTCAACTGCCTAAATCTTATCTCTAGTCTTTTATTTTGGCACTTCTTTGTGCTTGGTCTAACACCAGATCCAGTGCCTGTTGTCTAACAAGCGGCGTTGGTATGACAGTGGTGTTGTTCTGTGCTCAGAGAAGTATATTTTGTAAATATTTGGGTTGTGTATGTGGGCAGAGTGGATGAAGAACCACTGCTGGGAGACCTGTGAAAGTGTTCCTTTACACATGATTCCTTTATCTTTCAAATAAATTGTTACATTTGTGATTCTTGCATTTGTAAGGTGTCACCTTTTCTTTGTTCGTTACATTGGGCAAGTGCCTAATCAGCAACTTGTCTTTAAATGGCATGAGCATTTTTCCTAGAGCTGTAGTGATCAACCAGAATTTCTAGACAGGGTGGAGAGTTTGCTTTATTTTTGTGATTGTTGAAGTGCAGAATCATTTCAAGGGGAATATGTAACCTGGTAAAAGTGGATGTCCATACAGAACCACCTTGTGAAGCAGGGCCTCAAGATCTGGTAAAACTTAAGGAGCTTGTTGTGCATATTACCAAACACATTTGCAGTTAATCAAATAACCAGTAAGTGGTAGGTAACATCACCTTTGCCTGTTTGTAGATTCACACATGATTTGTTGATGTGATTTCTACTCTGCTGAAGTTTGGGGCTGAGTAAATCACTGTTTATTTATGTTGATTCTGTTGGCAACAGTTTTCTGATCATTTTGCCAAAGAATCTGACACTGAAAAACACTAGATAGGGACCAGGCTCTGGTAGTTTTGATCAATGCGCTTTCACATAAAAACTTTATTATTTAATTTTGACAAAATGCCACTAACTTATAGCACATTTATTAACTTAAAGCGCCTGGAAGCCATTGGGAAACGGGCAGTTAAAGTCAAAACGGAGGCTTCACGAATTACAAAAGTTTGATAACCCCTATCATGTTTTCATTTAAGTGATTTCCATGCAGCGGCGTCATCATTTCCTGTGCAGGCCACTTTTCCTTTTTTTCCTCCGGTGCCAGCAGTTATACAGAGGAGCCTATTTTTCCGCATAAAAACTTTTCAAGCTGCACAGACAGAAGCGACAGAGGATCTGTTCAACAATGGATCACTGACCAGACGCTGCAGCGACACAGAAAGACAGGTAGGACCTTTGTTTCATCTCCTTAAATGTTGTATATACTGAAGTCTAACGACTTTTTAAAGCCTTTTATAGTAACTTGCGGTATTTATAGCATCTTTGCATCGTTGTGTTCATGAGAAAGTGTCTGTGTTTTATAGTCTGTTGTGTTGTTGACATGATTAGCAGTTTCTGTGGTGATTATTTACAGATGCTGGCGTTGGTAAATGTTTTTCTGTCTAATCCGCTGTTTTATGTTGAGAGAGGAAAAGTTCTTCAGTTTTTGTGCTGCATTTGCCACGGCGAGCCTACAGGGGGCGCCCCAGTCTTTGAATATGATCTGTCACAAATCTGTCTTTTGTTGCGCTTCAGACGTTGTTCCTACACTCACCTGTTTACCTTTTCCTTCCTGTCCCAACAAGTTTAATTCCAATCATGTTTTAATAGCTTTCTGAGACGTTTTGCCAGTCCTACTTTACACAGACACGTAAATAAACTCCTCCATGTGAATCATTACACAAGTATCTTACCATTGCTCTACTTTCAGCCTTCAAGGTTTCTGAGCCAATAGTCTGATGTTGTGGCCGTTGTGTGGTGAAAAACAAAAATGTCACGAGTTAAAGGAATGTCTTTGTGCTAAACTTTGCTCCTTGCTGCTCCAATAGCACAACATGTCGTGAAAGTGTAGCTGCAAAGCAATGTGGTTTTCTGACAGAACATTTCAGTTCACTCTATTTGTCATTAATCAAAGAATGAGGAGGTTAGTTACAAATGATTCTTGCTTAAATTTACCATTCTTCCACTGTATTGTTCTTATTCACTGTTGTTCTATCTATTGCATCTTGTATTTGGTAAATGAGAGTGGTACATACTGCTGCAAAAACAGAGATCATAGACACCACACATACACATAAGATGGTGATAGATGGGTGAAGTTGATAGCGGTTGTCTCCATGGGTCACTGACTGCACCATGGAGTCTGCATGAAATAAAAACAGGTTAAAAATGTGCCTGAGGCTGTGGGGCTGCAAAATATGAATAATCAAACACTCCTGGTTATACCCCCTGAGCAGCAGCAGGCTCAGAATCAGATTTACCAGCCAAGTACGTTGAACACACAAAGAATTTGACTCCACTATAGTTGCTCTCAGTGTGCTTTGTAAGGCAACAAGAAAATATTTAAATAAGAAAAAATAAGCAAAAAAGAAGACAATAACAATCTACAGTAACATTTTGCTAAGTAGGAATGTTGTTCATTCAAATGTTAAAATGTCATTACTGTATTGTCAGGTTCTCTGAAGAATTCACTTGCAGCTTATTTCAGTCTAAAGAGGTGAGGTTGTGTTTCCCAGTCAGTGCTGTCAGGCTATATCTAAGGCCCATGTGTAGGAGTGTTGATGGGGCACGTCAGCCTGACTCAGCTTAATCTTGGAGTTTAAAAGGTGCCAGTTTGTTTCTGACAATTATGGGGTTTATCGCACACATATATATTTTTGTATTAAAATCAAAGCAGATTTTTGTGCAGTGATTTTGAGTTTCAGTCGTCCTCTTTTCCAACTGGTATTTCCATGCTTCCCCCAACCCCTTGGAATGTGCACAATGTGAAGGAAAAGATCTGAGATGAATTTTTGGAGTGTAGGTGGTGAAAGCCCCATAGAGCTGTGCAATCATCCCCTCGAATGTCTGAGGATTTGAGATTTACTGCGGCTTCTTAACAAACACGCACAAAGTTTAGGGATTTTATTTTGAGAACATAAACATTAATTCCCTTGGGACTGCAGTTTTAGCAGGTGTATTATCATGAGAATGGGAAGGAAGACAGAGGTGAACATGAGAAGATTTACCGTACAGAATCAGAACTGTACAGAACACTAAAGTATTTACATTTCAACTTAGAGATTTTCTGCTTGTGCTTTTTGCCTCACTACATTTATTGTTTATTTTCTGTCTTACAGATTCACATTAATAATACAAAATATAATCATTAAATAGATGATGTATTATTAAAGGTTAATATAAGACTTTGATCACACCCTAATGCACCAATAATAATTTTATAATAATATACATTGTGAAATGGGCCCAACTTGTATATGAAATACTTTTGTTTTCCTGCCCATTTTGAATACGCTTTTACTTGTAGCAGAGTGTTGCTACACATTGTTATTGCTACTTTTACTTAAGTAATAGATCTGAGAACTTCTTTCATTGCTACCTGGCATTACTTGGAATAGATGCATGTTATGTTTTAATTTGAACTTTGTTTGGTGCTCACATGTCAGCCAAGTGGAGGGTGTGGGATTTAATGAGGAATCCAGATGGCAAACAATGGACTCCAGGAGTTTAAGCTTAGGTTACTGTGTGGTAAAACATCCAAAACAAAGAGAAGTCAGTTCCTCTGTCATCTGTCTGAGATGATAAGACACTCCAAGAGAATGAAAGGAGCCGGTTTTATGGTTGGCGAGAGTCTTTGTAAAGATGTCACTTGTTAATTGAAGAATTAGTTAAAAAAAACTAATTTTTGCTTGTGTCTTATGTGTTGCTATTGTCTTGTATTGTGAAATGTATGAATAGGAGATGTGCTAAATATAGAAATAAATGACATTAATATCCTTTAATGGGTATTGATCAAATGACCACTATAGAAGTTTGGAATTCATGTGGCTTTCTCGTCTTATTTTTTAGCCATTTGTCTCCAGATGAGAGCACACAGTATCCAGTCTGAAATAGTTTCCATGAGCTGACATGACAAAGATGCTCTTTGTTATTTAGCGTATGCTTCAGAACCACACCAAGTAGTTTAATTTGGTTGGAGTTGACTCAGACCTAGGGGGATATTACATTTTTGGTGAATTACAGTTTTGTGGTCAGCTCCACTACAGAACTTGGATTCAACTCCAAAGAAATGATGCTTTAAAACAAACAACAACAACAAAAACACTATTTAACACCATATGCAATAGTGGAATGTAATATGAATATTTATTTAACACCTCCTTATCTTAACACCAGGTTGAAAAGCAGTGTGAGATAGCCATCAGTGATGCTGGGTGTGGCTCTGTGTCTCCTGCCAACTCCGTGTTTTGTTGCGCCTGTAACCACATGATGTCGTTGAGTCCCGGAGTACACCTGTACATCACTGCAGGCTGGCAAAAACAAAACGCTCAATGACTCTGCTGTATTTTGATGTCTGCTTTACTTGAATCTTACCATTTTATGTTATTTTATACTTTCAATATGTGTCAGGGGCATATAATGTACTTTTTACTGCTCTGCATTTACCTGATGGCTGTAGGCCAAGTTACAGTACCTACTTTGCAGATAAAGATTTTACGGTACAAAATGTGATTGGTACTGTAATATTATATTCCAAACAAAAATGCTAAACTATCCTCTCAACCACATATAACATTAAAATGCCGTTTGTACATGTATGAATGTTACTAGTTACTTGTACAGGGACTCGCTGTTCTACCTGACCGGGTCTAACCTACAATCAGCCGGCCAGTAAAGCCCCTCGGGGCAGTGAATGATCAGCTCATCAATGCTGGATTCCCCCGGCGCACAGTACCTGTTTGTTTTGACTGCTTGAGGCCAGTGTGTCTGCTGCATGTGATGTGTTGCTGGTTAAGGAGAAGATTCTAACCTTCCATGATGTTACTGTCGGTGCTACGCTACCTGTTGGAATTAATTTCACTACTTTGGGACTGTATGCGGTTGTGTGAGGAAAGATGTGGCGATCACCGGTTGGATTTACTAGCCTTGGAGCGACTTGAAAAGGGAGTGATGCTTCCTCTACTCTGTGGGACTTAATGGTAAGTAAAAACACCACACGTTACATGTTTGTTAATGCCTTGTTTCTGTAAAGTTAGAGAGAATAGTTGTAAAGCTGGAGAAGTTACCATGTCTGCATTATGCCAGTTAAAATATGGGGTTTCTCAATTACCCGCTTTGTTTAGGGGGTTACACATCTCTTCATCAGTACATATACTGTTGTTTACCTGTCAATGGAGAAGAAATTCAAATTTATTAATGTTGTCGTGGTTCGTTGTGCTGCTCACTTTCAAAGTAACACCTGCAGCAGGAGTTGTGCATGTTCATGAACTATCCTCTCATTTTTAGGCAGAAGCTCTCTGGTTTTTATCATTCTGAAATAATTACAGACTATTTGGAGTGATGATGAGTGCCAAACTAATCTAGAGGTTAAATGGCTGGAAGTGAGCATGCCATGGGATCTTTAAGTAACATTTTGAATGTAGGTCTTTTACTTGAGACACAGTATTTTTACACTGTGGTATTATTACTTAAGTAAACAAGTTGAGTACTTCTACCCACACTGCAAAGTGGCTGCAAAGACATGAAAAACAAATTAAAAAAAAGCACAAAATGGCTACAGGATCAAAACAAGCACAAAGGGACACAAAACAACTACAAGAATACAAAAACTGATTACAAATCACATGGTCTTTTACATATCTGTACCCAGGGGCCCCATGTCTCGCAATCCGTCTATGCCAACAGCACAAAAACCCAAAGGTATTTACTATCATGTACAACACAAAAAATCCTCACATTTGTGAAACGGCATATATTTGTCATTTAAATTGCCAAAATGTTATTAATAAACAACATCTGCTAAGTGTCAGATAAATGTAGTGCAGTAAAGGTGCAATATTTTCCTGTGAAAGGTGTTGAATTGAGAGTAAATGGTGAAGTAACGAACAAATAGTCTGTCTCAAATTAGTACACAAGTAAATGTACTTCGTTACATTCCACCACCGCTGCTTGGTCACACATTCATTTCTCACAAATGAAAGACATCTTTGTGAAGCTGAAATGTGTTCCCATTGACCCGTGGAGGGTTTCTTCGTAACAATGTGCTGCGGCGCTGGCAACATAGTTCCATCCCATCAGCAGCGCCTTCAACTCGTGAATATTCATCCACACTCCTCGGCCCAGCGCGACAATAAACAAGGGCAGAGGGGCTGAATGCCTGGCCGACGAGGAGGAGGATAGAGGGGGGCAAATCCCGAGAAAAGTGGGGGGCAAACAAGTCGTCTCCATGGCAACAAGCCCTGCCTTCCACTCTGGCAGGCTGTGAGAGGCGACTTGGAGGCAGGAGGCCTTTTTTTTTTCTCCTTCTGCTTTTTTGTCGGTTTCGGTTGGAAAGACATGAGTCGGAGTTTATTGAGAAGGACAGGTATCCGGCAGAACCAGCCAGAGTTTTTCAAGGTGTAGACCGACGGGATTTGTGCCTCGCAAGGGGATTATAATCTGAAAATGTCAGCAGAAGCAGCCATGGATGTGGGGAGAAACTCGGAGGTAAAAGCCGCCTGCTTTTTGAAATGTTATTGAGGAGACGGAGCAGAAAGGTCAAACCTCTAGCTGCCAAAAATAAGAGTCCGAAAAGAAAGAAAGAAGAAAAAAGTTGTAAAGGTGTTGTAGAAAAAGTTGCAAGGTGCGTTTAAATGCACTCCTAATCTCCATGTGACCATATTTGGTCATCGACATGTTAAACGATGTACTTTTTTTTAGCTGACCCTCTGAATGAAGAAAAATCCCAGAGGAAACAGGCAGTAACCGGGTTGTAATTAGACCCTAGTTATTGTCGCTTAAACACTCCTAACGTCAACCCAGGCAGCAGACAAGTAGAAAAAGACAGGAGACTAGATCAGGCTGAAGTCACTGTTTACTTTTCCTGTTGTAGTTTGGACTGTGGGGGAGATTTTATTTTGTCTTGGGAGATAAAAACCCGCATGAAACTAAGTGTACAAACGTTGGAAATGTTTGCTGTGTATTTTGACTTGTATGTGTACACAGGCTTCTTACAAGATTACACACATGTACTTTTTATTTGTCAAACGTGGAGCAAATTCGGGTTTATTTTCTCATGAGCTCCTGCACTTGGGTGAAAAAGAAATCTGGTTTGTCTGTCAAATGATGTGGATTTTAAAGCTGTGTAAACATATCCAGTTATTAAAGTAACATTCACACCTTTAAAACAACAAGTGGTGAAGGCACTGAGTGCTTTGTAGGCGAAATATAGGAAGCTTTGTTTATGTCTTGTATGTTTATATGTGATTTATTTATTTTTAAATGAAATTACAGCTTAAATCTGTATGGTTTCATCTTTTTCAGTATAATGTAGTAGGGCTGTGACTGGTTTTCTTTAGCTCACTTTTTTCCTAACCCCGTTCTGTTGTGCAGACCAAACAATGACCTTCCTATGTCACTTGATGAGACTTTAAGTAAAACCTACTGAGAAATTCTTTCTTTACTTTACTGGGGGTGAACCTAGCATTCAACAGGCACTTTTAAAGGCACTGTTGTTCACACGACATCCTAATAATAGTTCAGTTTGGAACAGTTTTGTTCAACATCATGATGAAGGGAGCCTCAGCCACAGGTCTATTTGTCTGGGGGAAGTATTTCTGTGTCATATGGTTTTGGGAGATTTCCTAGTCAGAGATCTTATCCAGTATTGTTCAGATCATAAGACCATCTTCCTTAACGTCACCCCGAAGCTCTACTAAAGTTAGCAACCACTGAGAGAATGCATCCTTTGATACCAAGAGCATCTGCTTTCACATTTCATTGTCTCTCATGGAAGCATTTGCTAGAACCTTAAAATGATGAGAGGCAGAGATTTTAGTTTATACTTAGACAGTATAATAGCAGTTGCTGGCTGTAGTCTGTGGCTGTACTGTAGCACGTTTAAGATCACTTTTGTTAAAATCACACACCTGATTTCACGTCTGTATCAGAGCAGCACTTTTAGGTGCAAAACAGAACGCTTACAACTGTGGTCACCAGAAGTATTGAAATGCTGGAAGGTAGTTTTCAGTGTTGAAATCAATGGAGCAAACTTTTGGTTTCTGAGTTTTCAGCTCCGCATTGTAATTCTGAAATGTCGGAAATCATCTTAATTATTCCCCAGTCTTTGGCAGTGTGAATATGAGAAGCTGCCCATCTGTTTTCTGGAAGTGCTAGCTACTGTTGAACACTTGCAATGTATGATGACAGTGACTCTTAATCTTCCTTGACTTACAACCTCTGCAGCTAAATAGATAAAGTTTCCTTGGCTTGCTGCAGGTGGCATCTCTTTGCTGCATGATTAATAATAAGCAGGCAGATACAGTATAATTTGTTCTCTGTACTATATGTAGCATTATAAACTGTAATCTCCTTATGCACTACATATTTATTGGATTATGTTGATTCAGTGGGATCTTTGTGATGTTTAGAAAGATTCTGCGCATAACATGACATCACCGTGTCAACATTAACATTCCATGAGATGTTCTGCCTTCATTTATTCAGGGTGTTTGTTTACATGCTCAGCTGTGAACACTTGTCAGAGCCCACTGATGTGCAAATTTATGTTGAAATATGATTTTATTTCATGAGGTGGTAAAGTTGACTGTGTGTTGGTTAAGAGAAGTTGAGCAAAATATCGAGGGAAACAGATTTTTGAGTGAGTGATGACACCACAGGTCTTTGTGCCACTTCTTTATCTTCTTGCACTAGCCTCATGATATTTATATAACATTTGGAGGTGATAAACACTGTCAAATGTAATAGAGAAAATGAGCGACAACACAGGTGACTTGCAGCGAATCTTTGTTTTTGTTGACTTTAGCTGTGACATAAAAACAGAGGCAGCCAACAATAGATGTCTACTTTTGTGTCAGAGTTCAGCTCTGTGACACAAAGTCTACCCCCCCGCTGCAGCTCAGATGAATATAAGCCTGTTTTCCACATGCCTGCCTCTTGCAGCTGTGCATGCTCATATCTAGGTTACGCAGAAGGGTTTTCCCTCTTTCCCACAAAGTGAAAATGTGCCATGATTACTCTGAAAAAAGAAGCTGAAATGGCAAAAAAGGGACATAAAAAAGAGTCCAAGAATTGGTTCCACCTGGTCAATTGAGCTATACAGTGGCAGTATGGCAAACCATGTGGTAAAGTATGGGGATAATTATATAGGTACAACTATATGTAACTTCCATTAGCATCAACATTTGTGGTTTTCTTTTACATAGAGACAGTAAGACTGTCAGGGCTTTAAACCGGCCTCCTGAGTGTTAGATTATGAACAGCATACATACGTAGATCCAGCATATAGTACAGTCTTTCACTTTCACATGGGAATTTTTGCTTTCTCACCATGTTTGGCCTGCAACATCTCACATGCACAGATCATATGTGTGTTTTATGCTTTTATGTGGACTGCACTTTCTTGGGTTGAGTATCAAGAGCTGGATTCCCTTCTACCAGGATATTTATGCAGCTTGATTCCCACACTGCTCCGTTAACTTGATCTGACTCAGCCAGCTCAAGTCTCTTTTTGTCTGTTGGGGACAAAACTGGTCTTTCTGCACATATTGAGACAATGCTATGGATCTGTGTGTGGGCTCGTGTCTGTTAATGAGTTGTAATGTGTGGAAAGAGTTGAAAATTTGCAGAGATGTTCACTCTTCCTTTCCACATTATGTCTTGGCTGCTTGTAAGCTCTGCAGTGGTTTGAAAACCCTTGCTGTCAGGTTGCTGATCAGCAGAACTAGAGGCCAGGTCAGCCAGAAAAGCCTTGTCGCACGAGACATAAGAAGACATAAGACCCCTGTTCATGAAAGCTGCTGTGTCTGCTGCTTCGTGTTTTAGGATAAACAAAGATCTTAATGTAGACTGTTGCATAAAACTCTGTTGCACTCTCATAGATTGATCAAGTACCAGCTGCTGAGAGAGTGTGTATTTGAGCATAGTCGTTGCTGAATGAAGGAGAAGCTTTTGGCATCGGGTCCAGATGTTTCTGCCTCTCTCCCTCTAAAAACATTTTTCGATTTTGGTCTGATGGCCACTGCAAATATTAGTACATTCATGTGTGTAGTGGAGAGAACTGTATCATGATCTGTCAAATGTGACAAGGCCAAGGACGTGGATTCTCTTTTGAAAGCCCTTTACCTAACTGGGTCTCTCTCTTTCATGCATACACGCACAGCTGATAAAACACTTACTTTTTAACCACATCTTCCTCTCAAGGACACAGTGAACACAAAGGGCTCTTTTACTCCAGCCCAAACAGTCTAATGGAGACACAGATTTTGACCCATTTCATGAATATGCTCTTGTTGTGGAGTAAAATAAACGTAATTGATGTGCCCCTCGTGTAATCAATTAATATGCTGTACTTCTGAACAGGAACAAGATTAAACCAGGAGAAATTCTGAAGTGGCTCATCAGGATGTGTGGAATATCTTAAAACAACAGTGTGGCTTTTAGTTTTATGTCAGAGCCAAAGACGTGAACTTGTGGAATTTTCATCTTTCTCTGTTGTTTGAAGTAATAGACATAAACCTCCAAAAGTTTAGGGATTAAGTTTCTTTTTTTAGAGTAGGGAAGTAAAACTTCCAACATCCAAGGCTGGATGTCTTGCTTGACAAAGCTCTTAAGTAGTAATGGGAGTCAAAGTGCAGACCAGTAGCTGGAAAGTGCAGGTGTGTGATTTGGTAGCTAAGGTTATAAAATTATTGTTTTTATTTTTGTTTTTAGGAGTGTTAACGTGTAAAATAGACTAACGGTCTATCCTGTCAAGATACAATGACATGCGAGACGCCATCAGTGTCTGGATGCTTACTTTGTGCGCCATATACTGTATATGGGTTGTTCACTTCCATCCTTAATCCTATTTCTTCCACACTGTTTTTATAAACCTTTTCATGATGTTCAGATAAATCCAACAAACAAAGGAGCTCTTCATGCTGCCAGGAGGATGCCATCATGCTTTCTACTGTGCAAATAAGGAATGTGTCTATGCGCTGTGTGCATACCCTCCATTGTAGTACGAAACGTCCGCTTCCTTGGAAACCATGAACAGACCTGGGCTCTGCAGTTCTCTTCAGCTTTACAGAGTTTTTTTGTGTTTTAGTTTACTGTTAAGGTTTTCCACCCCACAATTTTTTACCTTTCCCATCAGTGTTGCAGCTGCAGCATTACACAGTTTTGATTGAAAAAGCTGTAAAACCCAGTGTACGCCACCTACTCGGCACCAAACAGGCTCTATAGCTGGTAAACATCTGGAAATGCTTCCTTCATGGTAGAGACCAAATCAGAGTTAAAAGGAGAGTAAGTATTTTACTTATATTTATCACATGACCAGAAACACAACTCTAAATTCAGGCATATGTTGCTCTGTGTTCACATCAACTAAAATCTTCTGGAGAACTGAAGAATGCATGTGCCCATTTGTAGTTTTTTAGGTAAACAAACACATTAATGTGCTTTCATGTTTATGGTTAACATTTCAACAATCATTATCATATGTGGCATCAAGAAACAGAGGTAACTGAGCCTGAAGCTGTTGGTTTCTTTCCATTTACCATTAGCTTGTTGCTGGTTCAGGCATCACAAGGAAAATCTGCCCTGAATCTGGTTGAATACACTTTAAATGTACTCTAGAGCTCTTTTAGAAATGGCTGTTTACAGCCTGTGATTTTGTGTAGGGAGATGGTATCACATCTCAGGAAGTCAGATGGCTAACGCCTTGGTGTTTACACTGTGACGTCCACCTCGGGCCTCTCTGACCCAGTTCTCCAATTGTTGCTCTCTGTCCAAAAAATGAAAATGATGAATTCACGCAAATAAACATAGCTCTCGAGCTAATATAACACAGGTGTGTAGAACTGACTATTTTAAAATGTTGAGTATACTTTTCTCTATTCCAGTCAGCTAATTTTATTTTCATTTTTTCTATTCTTTGTATGTTTACTTTTGAGGTGTTACAACTTAAAATGACAGAAGCTTCATGTTTTTGATCAGAGAAAAAGAGTTGGAGGATATTAAACATCAATTCCACAAACATACACTATTTTTTCAGCAAGTATTAATCAGAAATTATATTTTACACAGCTGCCAGTGTGCCTGGCTTTTGTTGTACCTACTGATTTTTGACTTAGGTGCTCTGATTTATAGAAATTGGTAGACTTTTATGTTTGAATTTCATGGATAAATCCTACGGCTCTGTGTGCATTACAGGAAATATAAGTTCCTACCTTTGCTGTCCAATTTTATGTCAAAATTCTTTTTAAATGCACTTTGAGTGTAATGTTCATTTTACACTTGTACACACAACGACAGGAGAGGCGAGTTCTAAGCAGGACAAGACAACATCGTTCTTTGTGTTTCATGAAAACAATGATGGATGCCCGGCCCTCTTAGTGTGGTCCACAGTTACAGGAAATAGCTGACAGCAGGA